ACAAATCAGAGCTTTACCTGTTTGCAGAACAAAATTGGACTTTATGCACAGGCTGCCTGTAGGAAGGTATCTGCATTGTATACATCTCACTGTGTGTGTTTCACGCAGAGCAGTATGTGTATTGTACACTTTAGCGATGCACTTTATACAGAGCCTTGCCCATACCCAGAACAGTCGTGCATGTACAGCCATCGTTTTGCAGAGATGTATGCATATTATTACATATAATGTAAGCTTTACTCCGAGCCGAGGATTTATACAGAGCTATAGGAAATGTGTATACTGTTGTATTTGTGCTTTATGCAGAACAGTATATTTTATGTACATTGCAGTATCTATCCTTTATGTAGAGCCTATCTATAGCTACCTACCTATTTACTAAAGTGTCCATAACACAGGCCATGCCTGTGTATAGAAGAAGAGTGTGCATGTATAATGCAGGCAAAAAAAGGAAAAATAGGTGGTGCCACAGTTAACTAAACGTAATATAGACTGCAAAAATGTACTTGCATATACTGAACAGAGCAAGGAAATATATATTACAAAAGTCCAGATAGAGAATGAATAGGAGGAGGACCAGCTAGTCTTGCCAGTGCTTGAGTTTGGTGTGAATTTAAGTGGATTCTTGGACTTGAACTAGTCGAGTTTTCTCGGTGCAGGTTGGAATGTGAACATAAAAAAGAAACTCCAATAGTGTAGATGGTGAATGACCAAAAGAGGAAAGATTTTCAACAATGTGGTATTTACACTCACCTATTGGAGAGCTAAAACCAGCTCGAATATAATTGGCATTTGTGACATGACCAATCTCGCCACTGTGCATTGGAGGAGCCTGCCTGCCTGCCTGCTGCCTTTTGACTATGGACCGGCATTTAAATACTTAATTTTCCTATGCAGAAAGGTCTATTCATGTATTTCTGCCCTGGTGTTCGGTAGATTCTCGGATTTACTGAATGAACTCATTTAACCCAGATAGCTATGCCATGGAGCCTATTCGTGTAATAAAAGACTTTGGCTCCATGGCAATTGAACTGTATGTGTGTGGTCTGAGCGCCATTCAGTAATAATGTGCGCTCAGACCTAAGCTATCTGGGGATATGTTGCATGTCTGTATTTTATGTAATAAATGTAACCTTGTGTATTTTACTGTATTTTGCTACCATGTGGAGTTTTGCCTCTGTCCTTGGAGATAATTGGATTACTTCTCAATTATCTCCAGGATAGAAGAGTCTGTGGAACTGGTTTTGGGCAGAAAAGCCATGCTTCATTTGGTCACAAAGGACTTCGATCTATCTTTTGAACCAATGGACCAATTTGGATGATCTTGACATATGTTTGTATTTGGAGTATGCTGATTCTGAAAATGTAAGTTATGTTAAGTTTATGTGAATGTGATGTATACTTTTAAAGTTATGAATAATGTGGAAAAACTGTATTTCTCTGCCTGTGATAATTACATTAACCCATTGTGTAAGGTAATTGTATCACAGGCAGAGGGGAGGATTTTGTGGTGTGGGAGTGTCTGAGTGTATTGTACGTGTTTATTGGTTGTTTTACAAAACCCTGTGGGTGATACGAATGTGTAAGAATGTGTATATAAGAACAATAAACCCACAGCTCTGTCTGTTCCTGCTTGACCCTCAAAACAGAGCCTTGTCTCGTTCTTGGGGGGATTTATTGTATGCTGTTCCAGTTCGACTGCTAGGAGTGTAAACCTATTCGTATGGTTTTTCCTATTCGGCTGTTTACGGCATTCATATGGTTTCCTGTTCGGCGGATTGGTGTCATTGGTAGCTGCCTGTATATCTGGAAGGGGAATATCTACTAAACGGCTTTTAACCCCTTTAATGCCTGGGGGTGCCATTACAGCATTCAGTGGCGTCGATCCCCCACTGGTTATCATCACTCATATCCTACCAGTGGGGGCTCGACGCCACTGAATGCCAATTAAATTCGAGCTAGTTTTAGCTCTGCAATAGGTGAGTATAAATACCACATTGTTAAAAATCTTTCCTCTTCTGGTCATAGAAGAAAATAGGGACATAAGGTTTACAGAATGTGACTGTTCTATGCTGGATTACCCGACACACGGAACACAATACTTGTCCTACTAGGAGCCTGAAACCAATGTAATCTTTATTTGCACAGCAGCATGTACCACAAACTGCAGGAAAAGGAAACTTGATCCCAATCCTTAGGGAAGTTAGCAATATGTCTGTAATATCTGCCAAACAATAAATGTATGTCCCTATATGATATATAGTTCATGATACATGTCCCTACCCATATACAATCTGCTAGGGTCATTCATCACTCCAACTGTACTGGACTACATTCAATGCTTTGCCAGCATTAAAGGAGCACTATAGGGTCAGGAACACAAACATGTATTCCTGACCCTATAGTGTTAACACCACCATCTAGCCACCCTGGTACCCTCGTGCCTCTAAAAATAAAGTAAAATCTTACTTGAATTCAAGCCTGCAGCTGCATAGTTTGTCCCGGTTTCCTTTAGACCTGCCCACTGCCTGCTGACATCATCAGAAGTGGTAACCTGATCCAATCACAGTGCTTCACCTTAGGATTGGCTGAGACTGACAAAGAGGTAGATCAGGGGCAGAGCCAGCACAATTCACAGCCCTGGCCAATCAGCATCTCCTCATAGAGATGAATTGAATCAATGAATCTCTCTGAGGAAAGTTCAGTGTCTGCATGCAGAGGGAGGAGACACTGAATGTTTGGATGCATTTTAGGCAGCCATGACCCAGGAAGGATCTCTAACAGCCATCTGAGGAGTGGCCAGTGAAGTTATCACTAGGCTGTAATGTAAACACTGCATTTTTCAGTGAGTCTACTCACCAGAACAAATTCAATAAGCTGCAGTTGTTCTGGTGACTATAGTGTCCCTTTAAGGTTGATGTAGTCAAACATTTGGAGTAAACATGTTACCACAAGTTATGCAATATGGTTTACTTAATTTGGAACAGATAAAAAAAAATGACAAGGAAATTCAGCATTTTAGTCCAGAATAACTGGCCCCTGACTCTATTTTCCCAGCTCAGCTACTTTGGCCTAGTATTTGCAATTCCCAAGCCCTCCACCAGCAAAGCAATGGGTGGTCCATCTTACCCAACCTAACTGTTAAACACTGGGTAATGACTAGATCAGGGCATGTCGGTGGACTACGTTCCCCATAATACTAGTCATGTCTGAGAATTATGGGAAATGCAGTGTAGCAATTGGGGGGTCAACCTCCGGGAGTGACCACCAGGGCTGGATGTACCTCCCGAGCAAATGTAAACACAGAATTCTCAATCTACCTCCCTCTCTCTTCCAAACAGAGAAATAAAATACCTTAAAAAAATGCACTTGGTTGCTTAAATATGATTAAAATGTTCTATGCACACAGCTGTAGAGTGTGCAAGTATGAGAATGTGTCAGAGTGTAAGTAGTGGTGTAGGAGGCAGTATGTATTATAGCGTTTGTGTGCAGAACGGGTTACTATAGTATATACTATGTGTCCTCTTCCCTATTCTCTGCTAGAGATCACAGTGTTCTTTCTGAGGGGGCCATACAATTCAGCTCAGCTCAGGGGGGCTTTTAGCAGGCAGAGTAGGCACCTGTCACACTCAATCAGGCATGTGCCATACTCTGCATAGTGGGAAGTCTGGTGGGCACAGCAACATCTTCACTATTTTCTTTAAAGGCACAATTAACCACTGCAGTTCATTGTAGGTGTAATGCTGCTATGAGTTAAATGGAGCGGTTCCTTCAGATTTCTGTCAAACAACCTTGAAAGTAGAGAAAAAAAAAAAAAAACAGCCCAAAAACACAAAGCCAAGTGTGGATGGATTTGCAATTGATAGCGTTAGTGTAATTTCCACATTATCAGTGTTGTCACAGTTCTCCCCATGCCATCCAGACAGCGCCACCCCACAGGTGCCAAACAGAGGATTTGAACCTAGATCTTTCTGCATCCTAAGTCTGCATTCCTACCTCTGAGCCACTTTGGAACTTATGGATCTAGCCTTGTTTATCTGGTATTGTCTGTAGCACTATGGGGCTGGACTTTACCAGTGGCTCCTACCTGTCAATCTAAGTCCACATGAGGCAGATAGATCATTATCCCAGGTAGGGCAGGGTCATTTCATGTTTCCTGTTGCCTAAGACTGCTTGTGAAATCATTATTGCCCGTTTGCCGTCTGACCTTTTTGATACCATGCCTGACTACTCTTTTGGATTTGCCCTGGTCAGTTTCCTCCTACCCAGTTATTGTTCCTGCCTAAGCCCCCGGGCACAGATTCAAAGTCCAGATGGCTTCTTACCTGGTTGTCGTGGGCTGTGTTTATCTTCAAGGGTGAGCATACATCTCTGCACTGCGGACTCCAACCAAGGTAAGCCGTGACTAGTGCGGATGTAGTACCAGACCATGGGTGCTAGGAAGAGCCCTATATTTTTTTTTTAAACTTTTTTTTTTGGGGAAGCTGCTCCAAATGGCTTTACAGAACAAGGGAACAAGGGAACAGCAAAAAACAAACAAACTCATGGCACCATATCAACTACAATAAGTTGGTATTTAGAATGCCTCTTTACCACCCGTAGCTACCTTGTATACCAAAACTAACAGAGCATGTTCTCATAGAAAGGAAATAAGTATCATATACAAACAGAACTGAGAAAAATAAAAAAGGGAGAATCTGTCCGTCTCCATAAAAGTGATTCTATAACTGCGTAACTCTAGGCCCACTTGGCCTATGGTCCCTCCACCAAACTTGATCTGCAACCCTGTATGTACACTTGCCTTGTGTAGATCATTGTGTTAAATTGTCATGACCATTGTGCACTAACTTTTGTTTTTCTTTAAAAATGTGTCCTGTTTAACAACTGAAAAATAAATAAATCTCTTTATTAACCCCTTAAGGACCAAACTTCTGGAATAAAAGGGAATCATGACATGTCAAACCGTTCTTAAAAGGTATGACTATTTACAAAGGTAGGGTGCCTCAATCAAAGGTTTGCAATAGCAGGCTCCATCCAAGAGTTGCCCACGCACACATTATATAGGTCTACTTAAATTAGGCAGCTTTCCTTTGCTATGTTAGCATTAGTATGCAAACAAGTCTCTCCTTTATCATGGTACATATATATCACAAGTGTATCAAATGGAAGCACTGTTGGAAGCGCAGAATAGAATAAATTCTCTCACTAGATCCTACCGTGACCTCCAACATCCAGTAAGTGAAAACAAAAGCTACATGGCTCTGCTACAAATGTTCTCACCTATGTTAGCACTTTGGAAAATACACATAATACTCGTTAACTGTGTCCATGTATGTTGTAAGATAACTGCATTTAAAGGGTGCACTCAACACTTTGCTTTTTAATGCACTGAGGAGGAAAAAGTAAATAATATGCCATCTTCAATTTCCTGTTTTTGCTGCAAATCCACACTCATACAAACTCCCACTCTTCTTGGACAGCAGAATAGCTATATATGGCTATAGCAGGGTTAGTTAACCTAGTCCCTACCGCCCGGTTTGGGATTTCAGTACAACTGAGTACAAGTATTTCTGAGTGTGGATTTGCAGCAAAAACAGGAAATTGAAGATGGCATATTATTTACTTTTTCCTCCTCAGTGCATTAAAAAGTATATTATGTGTATTTTCCATAAGGCTACCCTCACACTGAAATACATCACAGGGGCAGTAAAGCTGGGCTGGCAAAGTCCTACAGCTCATTGTAGGTGTAATACTGCTATGAGTGCAATGGGGCAGTTCCTCCAGGTTTCTGTCAATCTTGAAAGAAGAAAAAACCCAAAATACAAGTACACAAAGCCAGCCAGCTCGCGGGAGGAACACAGAGCCTCCCAGGCTCTTCCCTCCCTCTGCTGGAACTAAGTGCCAGCAGGCCGGGGAGGGAGATCTTTGATCTCCTCAGCAGCCTGAGAGGGCTTACAGCAAGGCTGGCTCTGCATGGACCGGCAGGGGAGATGAAAGGATCTCCCCTACGGCCATCGAGACCCACTGGGCATTTTCTTGCGGAACCCAACGCCGCACACCTGAAATCCCAAACCGGACGGTAGGGACTAGGTTAACTAACCCTGCTATAGCCATATATAGCTATTCTGCTGTCCAAGAAGAGTGGGAGTTTGAGTACAACTGAGTACAAGTATTTCTGAGTGTGGATTTGCAGCAAAAACAGGAAATTGAAGATGGCATATTATTTACTTTTTCCTCCTCAGTGCATTAAAAAGCAAAGTGTTGAGTGCACCCTACAGTGTCTCTTTAAATGCAGTTATCTTACAACAAACATGGACACAGTTAACGAGTATTATGTGTATTTTCCAAAGTGCTAACATAGGGGGTGGTATGTGGTTCAGTTCAGGGTAGTTATGCTGGATTTTATTTTATGCATTGATCTTTAGTTACTTCTAGCCACATTCAGTTCCTCAAATTGCTACAACAATAAGGCTACCCTCACACTGAAATACATCACAGGGGCAGTAAAGCTGGGCTGGCAAAGTCCTACAGCTCATTGTAGGTGTAATACTGCTATGAGTGCAATGGAGCATTTCCTCCAGGTTTCTGTCAATCTTGAAAGAAGAAAAAACCCAAAATACAAGTACACAAAGCCAGCCCCTCCCCTCCCCCCCCCATCCTCACTGGGCAAGCAAACACAGTGCAGACTCCTCCTCTGTTAGGGAGTCTAAGCAGTCATGCACATGTGTGGTAGGTAGGTAGCCCGGGTGCATGTGGTGGGAGGGAGGCCTGAAGTGTAAATCCCATAAACTCTTGCTGTACAGAAACTAATGGAATCAGAAAAAAAAAAATCCCATAGACCCCTGCCAGTCCAGGAGAAGGCTCCATACACCCAAAACATTGTATTCTGGCCTGTCTGTTGCTGACATAAGTGCAGTAGTTTTAAGAACTTTAAAGGTGAGATGTTTTCTTTTGTTTCTTGCATATCTTTATGCATGATCTCTATAATGTATTAAAAATAGTGGATAGATCAAGCCATGGAGGGTCTCTTTAAATTATACTGGCAACTGATAACAATGCCATTCACTTCTCCGTCAGACACTCACCCAGTTTCCACTCCTTAAAAAAAAAATTAAAAAAAATGTACTTCTTCACAAAGGCGTATCAATTAAATTGTTAATAGCTCCCAACTGATTCCTCTCCTGCAACTGTCATTAATTCCCTAATACTATCCTTACCTTTTGTGTCACTTTACCCCACTCCCTCTAGCATGTAAGCTCATTGAGCAGGGCCATCAACCCCTCTGTGTGTCCAACTTGTGTGGTTTCAATTCCGTGTTTTTTAGTCCACCCATAGTAAAGCGCTATGGAATTTGTTGGATCTTTCTAAGTAATAATATAAAAGAGTTGTCAATCATGTGTGACCATTGCAAAAATAATCCCTGCATACATGCAGCCTTATCTGTATGTGAAGCTGAAGGCGTTGGGCAAGGAGCAGGTTCTGAATGAGCAGCTGAAGGCTCCGACTCGTAATAGAATCTGTATGATTTCTGTTTTGTGTAAAAACAAAAACAAAAAGTATCATTAGACAGACACCAAGTGTAAAATGGACACATTGTGGCACGCACAGATCGTGGGCCTACTTCTTTAAACACACAGAGAAAGGCAACTCTTGGTAAAACTAATGATGAGTCAGTTATACTTTTCAAGGTGGAAAAACAAATTTACTTCAAGAGTCCCAGAACATCAGTTTACCCAAGGCCTTGATATACACATCTTATTCACTCAACAACAAATCAGAATGAACTGAAAACTGAGGTTAGAATAGCCAGGCTGACTTTTTTCAAATCAATTATTTCTAACTTTTAAGTTATCAATTGGGCTTTCACTTCTCTGCAGTTCGGTATTCCACGAATAAATACCCTTCTATCCTACCATAAAGATACATGTAATCATGAATCACTATAGCTGGGTGTTGGGGCTCCCTCTACTGGCCAGTGTAAAGATTGCCTTCCTTCTGCAAAAGATTTCATTTTTTGATTGCAGGCGTTACATAGTTGTTTTATGAATAAAAACTTAATGTAACATCAAGTATATTTTTTATCACATCATTCTTTGGAATAATCTATTGCTCTTTTGATCTTAATCCAGGATGTAGATTGTCCATTGTCCTTGTGATTTTGGCTTACACTGGCACATAACTTTTAAGGCGTGACTTGTAGTATTAAACTTACATTTTTAAATCCGATTAAAATTAGCTACAGAATTTAGAGAATAAACCTGTTTGTCTTGGATCAGATTCACCGTTAAGGTGCAATTGAAACTTCCGTGCTCATCTCTCCAAAAGTATTTACATAATGTCACCACCTCTACTTACCGTTTTACACTACCTTTCCTTTCAAAGATGATCCTCTGCCTTCGATGTATCCTTCTTGAGCACACGTAAAGCCTCTAAATGGTTGATTCTTGCATGTTCTTATGTAAGGAAATAAGATTTGAATAGCAGGCACCTTAGTGGTTGGTTGATAAAACCAACTTACCCCAACACCTTATTTAGGCTATAAAAGACCTCATAGTTGAGTCCGCTGACTGTTCCTTGTTTCATACTTTGTTATTGCTTAATGTCAGTTAAAGGGAGGCTCCAGGATGAAAGAGATTCCATTTTTCTAATCTATTATATAAAATTAAATAAGATACTTACCGTTAAAGGTCCTTCAGCTGCTGCACTTGTACAGACAAAAAGCATCATCAAGGTCTGCCTTGACCATGAATAGCCTACATCAATCAGGGTCTGCTCGTATTCCATAAATTCCTGGGCAGCAGACAAAGAAGTACGTTATGATAAATGGCTGAGTGAGCTTAGGTATTATTAGACGCAATCATCCTGAGACCCCAGGAACAAAGTACAACATTATGACAGTACATCACAAGAGTGAGGTGGAATTATTGGAAACATGGGGGAAGGATAGTAGAGGACAGGTGTAAAAATAAGGACCCTTCTGACATGCTCGGGGCTCATATTGGTTTATTTATAACAGTATACAAAGTTATTTTCTGTCCTTCACGTCTTCAGATTGTCCTAAACTAGGCATGACAACTTTCCCTTACTTACACATTAATAAGGATATCATTGAATGCTATCAAGTCTCTCTTTTGTGGCCTCTGTAAACCAATGAATAAGTATCAGTTTTCTAGACCACAAAGTTCAGAGTCAAAAGGTAGAAGACACAAATGGTACTACTGTGTGAACATACATCACAGTATGTATATGGTAGACATGATTGCGTTTTTGTTTTTCTTCCTTAAATACAATTAGTCCAACCTGTCAAGGTTTATATATATATTAACATATATTATACATATTACTGGAATGGTTGTGACGTTGTAGAGGCACTCAAACAGCAAAGTGTCCATAAGCAATGGCAACTTGGCTGATATACCGAAAAATTATTTCTGAAACTTCAATGCCACCTCAAGTTCAATTTCATTTGGAGCACATCATACTAGGCCGTTTCATTCTAATGTAAAGATTTTCTGAGGTCTAGTTGTGGTGTGTTAGTTTCCTCATGATAGTTACTAGTGGGATTTAAAGTGCAGTCACACTTTTAAAACATTTTTCTCCTCTTCATTTGTGGTATTTGCCGGTTGTTCCTGTGTTTTCTTCATCTCTAAACCCTTTACCCAAGTGTAGCAGAAAGAACCGCCTAATACCATGATATTGCTGGTCCACCACAAGAAACTCTTACTCTGTTCGGAGAAAAACACAGCCAGTACTGTTTGGGCGCAGGCCTTGGCTGTCCCGGAAATATTGTGTGTCAAAGGACTGGTGAATTTAATTTGAAGGCCAGTGACATAGCCTATGGCAAAGCCAAAGAGCCCTCCAAGAGTCATCATAGACCAAAAATACACATCCGTTAGCTTGTCGAAGGTTATCAATTTACCAATGTCTCCAAATATAACCAGCAGGGGAAGAAACAAAAAACAGGCATTTACATTATTGTAAAATGTCAGACGCCAGATGCTGCCATCGACCGCTGGAAGGACCTTTTTGGTATAAATAGCATTAAGAGAAACACATGCGCTGGCCAGTACCCCAAAGAATATTCCAACCCAGGACAGTTTACCTCCTTGTCCTTCCTGGTCAATACCCAGGCAGAAACCACCTGCAAAAACAAATATATTGAATGAGATCAATGCTTTTCATTAAATTCACTTAAAACACAAACACTGCAGCAAATCTTTGTGGTTTTTTTTTTTTTTCTAGTTTAGTAGGGTGGCCTCGGTGCCATGTCACTGTAAATTTAAAGGGACCGTACACTGCCCAAATAAAAATAAACTTAAAAAAAAAACAAAAAAAAAACACTTCTTAGTAGATATGCACCCTTGGAGAACATACATTAATAAATTATGCATTTTTTTCCATTGGGGGTAAAGCTAAAAACAGCTTGCAAAACCTGCAGATCTCCTGTCTGAAGCCTTTGCAAATACTCATATTCTAACTCCACCCAGACTTTCTGTAGCTGTCCAATCACAGACTTATCAATGCAGCTCACTGAGAAGTGTTTGCAAAGCAGGTGCTCTAGGGCCCAACCTTCGGCATTCCAGATGTTTTGGACTACACCTCCCATGATGCTTTGCTGGCATTATGGATGTAAGAGCATTATGGGGGATGTAGTCCACAACATCTGGAGTGCCGAAGGTTGCCTATCCCTTCGTCTAGGCAATTGCTGCCTCTTGCGTTTAGCTCCAATATGCTAAATTGCCAGGAAATTACAGGACCAGTTGTCTACTTACAGCCAATGGGGTGAGTAACCAGGTTCATTTATAAAAATTCAAATTTTTGTGCTTTTAGTAGAATGAAAAAAGCTAAGCTCCTTTAGGGGTCTAGGGTGTTCCTCTAACCCTGCAACTGAAAACATTGCTGTTCTGCAGGAGTGCAATGTTTACCTCTAGTAACTCTGCATCACTTTGGCCAAAATAGCGGAGGAAAAAAAGACCATCTGATTGGTGCAGTGCTACATTTTGCTATGCATTTGCACTAACCTCCTAATGCTTTCCTATGTTGAAGCATTGGATTGGCTGAGATAATCAAGATTGATGATCTCATCCAAGGAGGCAGAGCTGGCCTTAGAGAGGAAAGCGCAGTATGGGATAAGTGATAAATGAACTCACCTTTCTACTTTGGGGTTAGCAGGTCACTATAACATTAGGAATACATGTTTGTATTGCTATTGTTATAGTAATCCTTTAAGGACAAATTGAAGACTTTAGTTCTGGTCCCTAAATTTATTGCAGAATAAACCTTAGGCTTAGAGTAGACATTAGGGGATAATGATCTGGGTTCTATATACCTGAACTTGAGCTACAAGAGCATGTTAAATACTCTAACTCAGTAACAGCAAACAACAACAACAACACCCATTATGGCCAGCCAGCTGCAGACATCAATTTTCTTTTAGAATGTATTATAGCTAAGCATAATGGACAATTCATAACTATTTTATGAAAGGCAAAAACACAACAATTTAGTGTAACCAACATTATGTAGACTTAGGGAAGTGACTGAATACCAAACTTACCTAGGATGACTCCACAGGACAGCAGTGCATACAACGATGTAGTTTGCTTAAGCAGCAAGTAGGACAGCAGCACATTGAAGACTGTACTTAGGCATCTGCCCACTGTGTAAAAGGCTACTCCAAGGTACATGAGGCACAGGTTGTTAAAGGTGATCATACCAATAAAAACCAAGGAGAGTGGCAAGATGCTCCTTAAAACCTTGAGATCAAAACGCACAGAAGGAAATTCCACGACATTTGATGGTATGACATGGGAGAAGAGGCTCAGCCCCTTGCACAGGGCCACTGTGACCAGGCACTGGTAGAAGGTGACAAACAGGGGAGCCTTGAGATTCAGGGAAGGGCTGTCCAGCAGATACTTGTTAAGAAACACCATGGTGATTGAGATGAACCAGTAAAGGGCTACCACCATTGCAATCTTCAATGCTTTCACCAGGAAGGGCTCCCGTCCTGCCTTGTCCGGATCCCCATCTCCAACCCCTCCCAATGCCATTCTGAGGATACTGGAGCGTTTCAGAGTCCTGTTCATGGTGACCAAGGGAGACAAAACCAAGGTCAGGACAACACAGCATTGACAGAGAGAGAAAGGGTTACAGGAAACTTCACAGCTAGTGATGCAAAGTTCTCAGATCTCAGCCCAGGAGAAACCTCAGCTCTCAGCCCAGGAGAAACCTCAGCTCTCAGCCCAGGAGAAACCTCAGCTCTCAGCCCAGGAGAAACCTCAGCTCTCAGCCCAGAAGAAACCTCAGATCTCAGCCCAGAAGAAACCTCAGCTCCCAGCCCAGAGGAAGCCTCAGCTCTCAGACCAGGAGAAATCTCAGCTCTCAGCCCAGGAGAAACCTCAGCTCTCAACCCAGAGGAAGCCTCAGCTCTCAGCCCAGAGGAAGCCTCAGCTCTCAGCCAGGAAGATGGACACCAAATCCTCCCTTACCCCTTTAACAGGCAGCCCCAGGCTATGGGACTATGAGAGTATTAACTCAGACAGTATAAACGATCTGACTGTGCTGGCAGCAGGGAGAATGCCTCCTCTCTGCTCATGGAGATTAGAAGAACCTTGGTAGCACAAACCCTCAACCATTTGGAATTAATCTCACTCCCTGTGCTTCCTACTTCCGGGTATGTCGCTTGCTGATGACGTCACTGCAGAGTGCATTATGCTGTGTGTGTGTCTCTGTGTGTGTCTCTGTGTGTGTCTGTATCTGTCTGTGTGTGTGTCTCTGTCATTCTGAGCTTTATTGCAATCTTGGAGTACAAAAGGGCTCATCTGTTTGCTGCACAATAGTTTTGTATTAATTCACATATTTAAATCACATTATTTCGAAGTACTCTGATCTGTACATTGTGACTCTGTTTCTAATATCTGTTTTCAAATATGATACAATTCATTTCTTACACCAAACATAGAAACATAGACACATAGAAACAAAAACAAAAAACCTTAGAGGTTTATTCACTCATTTGTAGTGAAACTGAAATGCAAACAACAATATGTAGGCTAATTAGAGATCAAATTAAATTGCCATTTCAATAATAATGGCTAATAGCGACTATGTTGTAAGAATGGTAAGGTAGTAGATGGCAAGCAGGGAACTTTTATGCTTTGTTAAAGGACCACTATAGTGCCAGGAAAACATACTCGTTTTCCTGGCTCTATAGGGTCTCTATGTCCCCCCACCCGCCAGGCTCTAGGGGGTGAAAGGGGTTAAATTTACCTCTTTTTCCAGCGCCGGGCGGGGGACTCTCCTCCTCTCCACCTCCTTCTCGTCATCATCGGCTGAATGCACATGTGCGGCATGAGCTGCGCGCGCATTCAGCCAGTCCATAGGAAAGCATTCTCAATGCTTTCCTATGGACACTGGCGTCTTCTAACTGTGAAAGTCACAGTGAGAAGCGCGGAAGCGCCTCTAGCGACTGTCAATGAGACAGCCACTAGAGGCTGGATTAACCCTATTATTAACATAGCAGTTTCTCTGAAACTGCTATGTTTATAGAAGAAAGGGTTAATCCTAGCTGGACCTGGCACCCAGACCACTTCATTAAGCTGAAGTGGTCTGGGTGCCTATAGTGGTCCTTTAAATGGCAGCCAAAATGGATATGACCTTCGTTTAATTTGGGCTATTTCACCTAGCTCAGGTAATGCCTACATACGGATGTGTCAATTAAAATGATTTACTTGGCACATAAATATAGTAGTAATGAGTGACCTCTGGCACTCTGCATTTTTCTCGGTGATGAAACTGCTTGTGCGTGCATTGCACAAGAGGTGTGCAAAAACATGATTGTTTGTTTGTTTGTGAAACCAGTGTCTACACAATGTCACACCTAACAACTGAATTAAAAATGCAGCTTAACCTGCTTAATTTAAGGAACACTTCATTGTAAAATAAATATTACAAACATATAACATTTTAGATCTATTCAACAGTGTTTCATAACATACAAATTAATGATTTCTAGAGAGATTCCATTATAAATTTTATTTTCCTTGGAACAGTGCCTGTTTAAAATCTTAAGAATTCAAATTACATTCAAATTTGCCCCCTGTTAGTCTTTTTTTGCACTGCGTGGATTAAACTATTCTTGCATTTGAAATGCTTGTTCTGTAATATTTTTTGGGCTATACTCCCATCTTAGTCCTCAAGGTACTCAAACATTCCAGGTATTCCAACATTCCAAGTGTTACTTTACTGATAGGGTAGTGGGTGCATGGAACAGCATTCCAGCTGAAGTGGTAGAGGTTAACACAGTGAATTAGTTTAAGCATAGCCTTTTTAGGCACCCTTGGGCACAGTATACAGAGCCTGGTACGGCTCTACAATCCGTGAGTGCAACCAATAACTATCTTTACACCCAGATATGTTTACAATATACACTATGAGTTGTATTTTTTTTATTGTTTTAGGCTGTGCACTCGAATTGTTAATAACAAGCCCATTTATAAGTATAATCTGATGCATGCATTAAAAGGGTGTTGTTTACCTTGTGTTCTTTCTGTCACATTGTGTGAACGTTTGGTTAAGTTTATTATCACTATTATTAAGGTGTAGGGAAAACACCTATGTTCCCCCCAAGTGCAATTACATAGAAAGAAATATTTTGAAGCGCCATACATCTGTTATTTTTATCATAAGGCTATCCTAACTATAAGATAAGGCCAGGGACTAATGAAAGTATTTAGAAAATTGGGCAGACTACGTGGGCCGAATGGTTCTTATCTGCAGTCACATTCTAATGTAATACAACTCATAAACCTTACTAAGCAATCTGGGAGACCCTAAACAGAATCCATGCCAAGAAAGACACAAAGAGACGATATTTTACAGAATTGACCCCCTTAAGGAGTTTTGTAAATACCCATTGTCCCAAACATGACAATTTAATGCATTAAAGCAGAGTCGAAAGTTCTTCCCTATTTGTAAAGCAGACATTTCCTTCATTAGGTCCCTTAATTAATTTCAAGATTTTCGTAATTATTCCACATTGATCTTACCTCCCAGCCGTCATCTGAGCCTCTTAGCTGATCTCCTTATATTGTAATCTTTCCCTTTTCGAAGTCACTGTGTTTTTTTCGGTTAAGAGTCACAGACTGTCATATAATAGTCTAATTAAACTGGCAATACACTCCTTCTAAGTTCAAGGACCTATTCAAGGAGGAGTCACTGTAACACCGTCAATTAGATGTAGTACAGGTCACTTACTAGTGTTGTTCAATTGTACAAACCTCCCATTGAACCTAGGTTGTTTGAAGAAAAATGTCAGCTTTCACATAGTTGCCGCATGACTCATGTTAATGTGTAAAATTAAACAGGTTTGACCTGATTTTATATGGGACAGTTCTCATTATTAAACTCATTCCTAGAGTATGTAACTTTTGTTTCCTGTCCTGAAAGTCTCAATGTAGTTGTCGACTTCCAAACTAACTCGTAAATAGTTATTTACTTAAGAATTGTGTACGCTGTTGCCCACCGATCACCATAAGGGGCTGATTAACGTGCCACAAAAATCTTTACTTGATTCGCGCAAGGTTATTCAGTATAGCATGTAAGCTCATGGAGCAGGGCCCTCAACCCCTCTGTTCCTGTGCGTCCATTTCTCTGGTTATAATTACGTGTCTGTTAGATCACCCATTGTACAGCGCTACGGAATTTGCTGGCGCTATATAAATAATAAAATAATAAATAACGTTAAAACGTAGCAAAACGTAGCAAATAAAAAATCTGAATGGCCAAATGAAGTCTAAATAGCTAATCGTTGACTATAGCTGGGTTGATGACTTAGTTGTGCCTTCATTCTGCGATTCAGATTCATATTTGCTTCAATTTGTACTTCAGTAAATTGCCCTGATGGATATAAACTCCTCTGCGTATCACAATCAGTTTGCTTTATCTAAATAGGGCTGGACTGCAGTTCCAACAATGCACAAGTAGCTATAGCCCTTACAATCAGGAAGCAGACTTATTCACAATATAAAAGCATTTACAGCATAGGCGACCAAAACATTCACATCCAAACTGTTACACAACTACAACTCTCATAATGCTAATCCAGCCCCTTCACCGGTCACACATCCTTACTTCTAAATCCGTACCTGTGATATATGACTGTTAGTATCAGTTACTTTGTCACTGTTGAAGTAGCGGAAGCAAAACTGCTCTTAACTTACTTCCCCGTCATCTACAGAGACAGGTGGCAGGGGTGGAGTCAGTAACCCTGCTTTTTTTTTAATTCAATGTCTATTGTTCCTAGGATCACAGGAGCAGGGCTTGATAAACTAGTCGGTCTGGTGACACGTTATGGATGGCTACACCCAGAGCTTTAATATTTAACAGAACTGTGAGCTATTAAAAGGTGATATTTTTGCATAAATTTAAACCCTGTAACTGTATAAAATCTCGTGTTCTTCTTTTCCTCCCTGTAATTAAAGATAATAATGGAAGTTGTAATGATATGGAGCATTTGTAACTCCTTGAAAAAAAGGGTTATTTAGATATAAAAGTAAGAAGAAGGATTTGAGTCCAACATAAGGACTGTCCTTCCAAAAGAAGGTCACTTAATCATTAAGTAAAATACACAAAAGGTAACTTCATTTCACATTCTATGATGCAGGGATATGCTACCTTCTAAACTACCACTGCCATGATGCTCATCCAGACTTAACATCATCTAAGCCGCACCATGGCCCGCAAGTTGAGGGGACACCACACACTTAGGGTCACCCAATGGGCGTCTCTGATCAGGATACCAGTTGCGCTGTTCGGCTGTGGTGCTGGATGAAGTGTGTGCAGGTCACTTCTCAACTTGCCAGAGAGCCGTTTGGGGAGGGAATGAAGGAGGTAGAAGGAGTAGGGGGACAAGCCTGGATGAGCCGCAAATTCCCATCAGCCTCAGCCAACACCTGCTGCAGCCAGATCCTACTGGACCTCAGGAAAGCCAAAGCTAAAAATCTGTAAATTATGGCTTGTATGAGTGTTTTTGTCAGTTTGTGTGTGTGTGTGTGTGTGTGTGCCACTGTGTATCTGCGTCAGCATGTATGTGTGGCAATCTGTATATGTGCATACATTTCAGAGTTCAAATATCCACACTACTTACAGACGTCTGCCATTAAATGCCAACACAACATACAAACAAACCCCCATGTTCAAATGCCAACAGCCCTGCCTGTAAGCTGATTACTAGCCATTGAAGCATTTTTATACAAAGTGCTTAGCTAGATGGCCCGTGAGCTTACAATCTAAAGGATACAATAGGGATTGGAGACAAGAGGTAGCAGGAGAAGTTTGGAGGTGATGGCTAAAAGAGTTAACAGAGAAAAGCAGCTATTAGTAAAATACAAAGGGAATAAAGAGGTAATTGAGTGAGAATCTCAAACAGCCGGTGGAACATGCTATATATTTAGTTCTGCCACTGAACTGTACCACATGGGAGCTTTAGGGCATATAGCTGCCAAATTCCTATTCCTGCACCTATATTTTAATTACCTTATCTGTAAGAGGAAGTGGATGTTTAAAGGCACACCATTCCTTGCCCACACCCACCTGGTAACCTTTTGCACAGTCTAACAATATGTGTAAAGTAGCCTAAAGAAACATGAATGGGTATTCTAGGATTTTATACCTTACAGCAACTTATATTGTTTACCAGACTTGGCAAATTTTTCCAATTCGGCTATTTTGGCCTTAAAATTAAACTGACTTTAATGAATTTTTGACAATTTACTAAATAGCCATGTCAGGCCAAAAAACAAAAAACATAAGACCACATTTAAAGTGGTCAGTGTCTTGAAGAAGATGGAGTTAGCTGTCGGAATTGTGTGGTATACATTGTTTATGCATTTATTATTTCCCATGCATATTACGGCTTTTGTTTAACCCCTTAAGGACACAACTTCTGGAATAAAAGGGAATCATGACGGAATATTTCTGTCATCTGTCCTTAAGGGGTTAATAAAGCACTATAATTTTAATTGTATTTAAGTGTTTTATATGTTGACGGATTTGTTAAATGTTTTGTATGTACTGGGGCTTATATGTGCTATGGTTGTTGCGGCTGCCCAGGAGTGATGGGAGTTTGAGCGCAGGATTTAATTTTGTGTATTTGTATTCACTTTGCATCACACAGTCATGTTACAATGCTGCTGCCCATCCCATGTGTACCTTATTACGGGTTAATACATATGTAGGGTTTAGAAAAATACCCATCTCTGTCTCATTCGAGATTTCTTTGCCTGAAGCTCAAGGAAACAAGGTGAATTGTTAGCGTAGGACTCACCTAAAAGGTTGCCCTGACGTGGCAGGTGGGTTTACATCTAATGGCCATTGGATTTACTAAATAACCTCCATTTATTTAAATATGCATAGGGATTTAGGCAGGTGTGCAGGTAACTCTTTTTTTTCTTACCCCTACCCATGGTGCACCTCCAACTACCCTCAATGCCCCTAATGTGTCCCTCCGATCCACCCCCCACCCCTGGTCCATTGGTCTTTCTCTCCAACCTCCCTCTTTACTCTGTGTACATCTCTATATCCTCCCTACCTGACTGGGTGCATCTCAAGATAACCCTCCCCAAGCAATCTCTTCAGCCTCCTCTCTAAACTCCAGCACCATTCCATAACCAATCACCCAATATTTTAGCGCAGCCAAGATGGGAATGGGACAGAGGCTCTGCATGCTCATCTCCCGGTTTTGTCAAAGTGGAACATGGTGTGAGCTGCTAGACAGGCAGAAAATGGCTTCAGTCATATCCCTGCCCTCCACTCCCTCAGCAGGACACTGGAACCTCTAATCACAGGCCAGGCAGACAGACATACAGAAGCACTGAGTGACAGTGCATGGCACCCAATGAGTGCCCATATTTGTGATAATTTCTCCCGGGAGAACCTTGTTCCTGGGCTGTCACTGCCTTTGATAGCTGATGTAGCTTATTATAAGACTTGGTGGCTTCCTTTCCATTCCTTTTGGTCAAGCATGGATGGGTTTTAAAGCTTTTCACGCGTATATCCTGTTTCCTGCTTTGATTCCGGCTCTCATACTTGTTTTTCCATCAGTTCAAGGTGTCCTTATCCCAGGCCCTGGCACACTCTGCTCAATTATTGTCAGTAATCTGGCCCGGCAAACAGAGGTGCGGCATCACAGCTAATGCTGGTGTTGGGTTTTGTGCATTTTTAGAGAAGCTAGAAAGGTTCGAATCATTTTTGTTTTTTATTTTTATTTTTCTATATTTTTTTTTCTAAATTTATTAAAAGAAATACGGGCAGTTTCTAAGTTTTCTTTTACTGATTTAGAGCTATTTATAGTTTCTGTCTCATCGGAAATCATCTATGCACCATTATATATGCCTGTTCCTTGTGATGATAATTATAAAATATTTTGAGCAGTTTTTCTTATATTTATAGACATGAAATAAAAATGTACAGCTAGTTTTTAGCATGTTGAGCACCAAGCATCATGTCAGATTTTAAAGAACTATGTCTTGTTTGCCAGTGGTGTATTTTGGTTTTGTGCTGCCCTAGGCATGACAAAACTCAGGCACATCACCACCCCCCCCTTCCCCTCCTCAATCTAAAAATTATCTTACTGTTTAAAATCAACACACTCTTTGACTGGCAGACATACCCCTCACTGATGCATACACAGACACACACACACACACACACTGACAGAAATTCATGCACACTCAGTGCCAGACACACACCCAATCAGAGTCAGACACTCACAGTGAGAGACACATACACCGAGTGACACACATACACACTCACTTACAGTCACTCATACACACTGAGAGACACGCATTCACTAACACACATACACACTCACTGTCAGACACACACAAACTGACAGAAACGCATACACAATCACTGACAGATGCACACTCACTCAGTGTCAATCACACTCCCAATCAGAGTCAGACACACACACACTGAGAAAAGCACATAGACTCACTGACAGACACACACACATGTTCACGAACAGACACACATACACACTCTTTGACAGACACATATACACTCGCACTAACAGATACACAAACTGATACACTCACACTTTTATTGTAAATTTCATTTCCCCCAGCCTAGGGTCCAGTGGGGATCCTTTCACTGCCGGGCAGGCGGTCAAAACATGCTGCAAGGGAGCTCTGATCTTCCTGCTCTGATCCCTCGCGCGCCGCTTAGTGATGCTGGGGCCGAAGTGTCATCATATTCTGGCTACAGTATCATTGTGGGATGTGCAATGCCTGCCCCGTCATCACTAATGCCATCCCTCAAAATGAGCAGATGCCAGCCCTGGAGGGGGTGGGGTTGAGGATAAGATGCTGAAAAGGTATATGCCTGGGCATTTGGGGGCAACCCCCCTGAGAGTGCCGCCCAAGGCAAATGCCTTGTCCGCCTTGCGCTAAATACAGCGCAGTTGTTTGCTGCAGGTGGAATGCTGGAAGCTACTCCGCAAATAAAATTCATTACAAACTGAAGAGGGGCAATGCGGGTATTTGGAAGGCCAGGAGTAGCGAGTTGCAGTAGTGAAGGCAGGAAATGAGAAGTCCATGAACAAATACCTTAACTGTATCTTGAGTTAGGATAGGGCGAACGCTTCAATATTTTTAAGGTGGAAGTTATAGCATTTGGGGACCGACCAGATGTGAATTGAAAAGGTATGACCTGAGTCAAGTTAACTCCAAAGCAGTGAGCTTGAGGAGATGGGGTATTAGGTGTCCCATTGACTTTCAGGGAGATAGAGGCAGGAGGGCTATTTGATGGAGGAAAAATAAGGGGTTCTGTTTTGGAAATATTGTGTTTTAGATAATGGGAAGACATCCAGCTTCTGCAGAGCTCCAAAACCAGGAAGATGATCCAGTCGCCATTCATTGACTGAGAGGGTCAGCTGACCCAAAAAATTTGCTCAGCATTGACAGAGTTCCGGGCAGGCTGATGACGACTCTATGACGCTGCCAGAGGTGGAGTTACACCTCCGGCAGCCAAGGGGTTAAACTCTGTATGTGCAGCGTTTCAAAGAGAGGCCCTGTACATACAGACTCCAGGCACCATGACCACTTCAAATCACTGAAGTGTTCATGGTACATGGAATAACCCTTTAGATAACCAAGCTTCCAGCCCCTTTCTCGGCTGATTACTCTGTGCTTCCAGTTCCACTTTCCAATCATGGGAATCATGGCTCT